CTCGCGGCTCCACGGGACACGGTCTTCCTGATGCGGACTGGGAGCTCGGGGATGAAAGGCTCATGGTCTTCCACAGCTCCCGGCCTGCTGCTTTCCCAGTCAGCCCTCCAGCAGGCCTGTGTGCCAAGCCCACGGCCACCTCCCAGTCCTCTGGCCGCTGAAGCTGACGGTTCCAGCCAACGCTGGAGGACAGGCCTTCTCCGTGGGGGCCTTCACCTGCTGGGACATCTGGCAAGCTCTCTCAGGTCCTTACCTGGTTCCCATATCTAACAGATGGACAAAGGTTTTATCAAGGCTCCTGACGGGCTGGACTTCACGATATAATCACAAAATCAATCCGTATAGACGGACTGGGCACAGACTCACTAAGAAGCAGCCCCACAAGGTCAGGCACTTAGTTAAGGTGCTCTCCCCGCACCGCTTGCCAGCACCTATTGATTCTTCCGCTCTGTCTAGCAGCCATCCCTACCCTTCTAGTGGACAAGCCATGCACCCCACCAGGGAGCATCTTCAGAGCGTTGCAGTTTAGAAGGAAAACCACCAGGGGGCACCTGTGTACTATCCCATTCCCTAGGGAACGGTCTAGGAGAAAGCCTTCATCCAACCACAAGGAGACAGCTAGCCCACCCTGTGTAATCTACTCGGCTGTGTTCTGTTCGCCAAGCTCCAAGATTCCTCCCTTAGCTCTGAGAACCCCTTGAGATAACCAGACCCCTCTCTTTCCAACATCTGCACCGTAACAAACAGTAGAGCCATGGACCCCATCACGCCTAGACAAGGCCTAGAAGATCTTCCAGAGGGAAAGAGAGGTTCTACTGGAAGCTTCCAGTGCCAGAGTCTTTGAAGTTCTAAACACATAAGGACCTTATTAGAAATTGCCAACCTACCACCCCTCAGGGAGGTGGAGTGTGCTCTGCTCAGCTGTTGCCCAACCTTGATGAGTCAGCAAGCTTGTCTTTGACCATCGTGGGCCATGGCCTGTCAAGTCATCAAGTACTGCTGTGTCTCTCGTGTACCAGGCCTTGAACTGGAGACACACGTAGTATGAGCAGCACATTATGGAACAGGAAGCTTGTGTAAAGCTAAGGAGGCTTCCAGATGAAGACCGAGTATCATACTCTGCCTTGAAAGGTCTTCTGGTTGGAGGACTGAGGCCAGAGCCATGAACCACAGCCTGAATGCCTGAGATCTTCAATACCAAGGGACAATTCTACCCCGCCCCCAAGAACAAATAGAGCTTTCTAGGAAGTTGGGACTTGGTTTACTGACAACAAAATGCTTCTGGAATCGTCCAGACTACTGAGCATGAAAGCTTTGAGTTCACAGTGGAACTCGATCTGTTTAGTCTCGGCCCATTAAAGACTAGACACCTTTGAGCACCTGTTTGAATTGGGTTTTCACAAACTTCCAAGGTTTGTGGACCTGGCAGCCAAGTACAGCCGCATCATTTCTGCCAGGACTGTTCACAAGTTACTTTTGTTCCCAAGAAAGGCGAGCCAACCAGAAGATCATGACTCAAAGTATGGTCCTCTGAAGAAGGGGACACTTGGTCCTCTCCAGACCTTCGCTCTCCTTGGACACTGTCTCAGCTGGGGCTGACATTCCTGGAAAGACTCTTGATGCTGTAAATAGAGGAGCATCCACAAACTCAGTAATGAAAGAAATAGGATGTAACAGTAAACAGCACACTCGATGAGGGTATAGGTAACTATTTATTGTGGAAATCACTTACAAGAGAAAACGGGCAACTAAGGTGAGTCAGCAGCTTTCGACACAGAACCGGAAGCCGGAGAGACAGCGATCGATCGTGTCTCCTGCAACGCGCCTTTTACCTTTTATCACCTCCTCCGGAAGAGCTCTAGCCACGCCCAAAGTGGGCGTGGTTAGCGGCGCAGTCCTAAATCTCTTCCTACAATAGGAATTTTACTTTTTTAAAGTTTTTTTTTTAAGTCATACAAGTGTGTGTTTGAGTATGGTTACATGCTCCATGTGTCTCTCTGTGGCACATGCACAGAGAATCCAAAATTAGGGTGTCAGATCCCCTGGAGCTGGAGTCACAGGCAGTTGTGAGATGAACTTGCCTTCAACTGTTTTTTTTCTAAACTACACTGACCACCTGACTGCCGGAAACATGTTTTACCTGATTATCAGAAATCTACTTTTTTTTTTCCTGCTCTCTGATTTTCCCAGGCTGGAGTTCAACTTGAGTGTTGTAACAGGGAAGTTGAAGGAACCACCACTCTCGAGTCCTGTGCGTGAAGGTCACCAGGCCCCTCATTGTGAGACTGCCCAGAGAGGAACTGAGTTCTCGGGCTCAGCAGCACTTGTAAACCCTCTCAAGGGTCTTCCTTTCAGAACAATCACCCTGGGGACTTCTCACCCCCCTAAGAAGTATTTTATCCACTCAGAGGCAGAAGGGTTGTCCTACTCAGCGTTAGCTGTCAACCTGACAAAGCCTGGAGTCATCTGAGAGAGGGAATTGAGTATTAATTGGCTTGGGAGGGTCCAGCCTACTGTGGGCAACACCATCCCCTGAGCCTGTGGACCTGTAGGAGAAAGCTACCTGAGTGTAAATTGGCCGGTGAGCCAGCAAGCAAAGTCCCTGTGGTGCCTTCTGTTTGTGCTTCCTTGGCGGAAGTGAGTTTCTTAGGCAGAGGTAAGACTAGATGGATATAGCAAGCAGGCCTTCCTTCATGTTCTGCTCCAGCTCCTCCCCTGACTTCTGTCCGTGATGAACTATGATCCATGAGCTTAAATAAGCCCTTCCCTCCTGTCACGGTATGTGTTATGGCAACAGAGATGAAACTAGAATGGGTGTTGGGTGAGATCTGCTCCCTCAGTCCTCCGAAACTGTCAATAGACTGAACCTTGATTGAGAGGATGGAGCCCACGCTCAGCTGCCCAGAACAAACCATAGAGTTTTCTGGCAGACTCAGATGGGGAGAGAGGGACACGGGGAGGAAGGAGGAGGGGCTTAGGAAATTTGCAGGCCTTTTTGGATCTTGGAAAAGCAGAGAGGAGGATTAGCTGGGTTTTTCCCCATCCCATTTTGAATCTACCAGGTTTGTCCCTACTGATTCCTGTGCTTTTATTAATAACAGGATAATCTAGATAATCATTACAAATGGGGAAATCATTGCTAGTCTTCCAATTTTTCCTGCAGAGTAGGGTGCAGGAAAGCTGAAGCAAAAACTCCTGCCTTCCTGGATAAAGGGAGGCGGCTAGATAGACTGATGAAACTCACAAGAAACCTAGCAAGACGCAAGGGCCCCTCCCTCGGGTTATCTAAGCAGCAAACAGAGGCAGGTGAGAGGGGGGCTCTTCAGTGAGATTAGAAGTCAAAAGGGAAGCTGCAGTTACCAGCAATGCTGGCTATGGAGCTTTCTGGTGACAGCTAAGAGAGAGTTGCTCGCGCTCCCGTAATTAAGCCCTCCCCTGGGGTTCTGTGACTAACCCCAGTAACCCTGTTGGTTCTCCAAACTGGATTTGATGAAGCCATTCTGTGATCCTTCACGGGCCCTCCCTGGGTTGACACATGCTTTCTCAGGGAAAAAGAGAGAAGGATGGGGAAACAACAGAGATGAGGTCCCAGCTGCAGCTCAGGAGTAGAGTCCTCCAGAGGCCATGAAGGGGCCATGCAAGATATGCTAATACCAGAGGAGCCTGCAGCAGGCTCTACATGGGGTGCCATAGGCATCAAAGGGACCAGGCACAGTCTAGGACCCAGCAGACTTACGGGGTTCCATACTCTATTAAAATAAAAGGCAATCGTGAACATAACAATGAATTTAGTCTGGATATCTGTCTTATGTCAACATGTTTATTTAAAAAATGATCCGCTGATTTTTTTTTTAATGAAGGAGCCCATGAAAACAAAGTGCCCAAGGCCTATGAAAGTCAAATGGCTCTCCACAATGGCTAAGGGTTAGGCAGTTGTTGCATATAAGATTTTACCCAGATAAAATAGACTGCAGCTCTGAGTTCCATACATGGAAACCCAATGGTCACAAGGAAATCTACCATCTCAGGATCTAGGCTTCAAAGGAAAATGATACATATGGTACCTTTAAAAGAAAAAGGGTAAAAAAAAAAAAAAAGACCCATGTGGCCTGGTGCCCAGCATGCCCCCCCCCCAGCTTTGAGCTCAAGTGTTGAAGGTTGGTCCCCAGTGCAGGACTATTCAACAGTGAGGAACCCTTGGGGTTCTTAGCTCACCAATGAGTTAATATGCTAAATTCCCAGCCTTGTGGGATGCTGGGAGGTGACAGAAACTTTTAGAAGGATCTAGTTGGAAGAAGCATGCTGCTCAGGAGTCCTTGAAGAATGCATTGTTCCCAGCCCTACCCTCTCTACGCTGTGTGACCCAGTCACCACACCCATTCTGTCATCAACTTTACTTCCAAGTCCTCCTACGGCGATGGTCTGCCTTGACTCAGGCTCAAACACGATGGAACCAGCCAACCACAGACCGAGACCAACGTGAGCGTTTCCTTCTTTTCAGTTGTTTTATCGGGCATTTTGTCACAGCAATGGAAAAGTGGCAAATACAACTCCAAATAGTATCCTTTTGGGCTCCATATCTTGGAATTAGTAGACTCTCAAGCTGAGAAAGAATCCTGTGTGTGTGTTGTGTGTGTGTGTGTGTGTGTGCAAACAGGTTCACACAGTCTCTCTCTCTCTCTCTCTCTCTCTCTCTCTCTCTCTCTCTCTCTCTCTCTCTCTCTCTCTCTCTCTCTCTGTTTCTCTGCATTACCTAGAGACACAGAGTCAAGAGCAATCAGGTCAGGTCATAGATACAAGAGTCCCTGGGCACCAGAGAGTCCAGAAGGGAAAAAAATGTTCAGCCAACTTCCTCTCCAGCAGGTACCAGCAGCACGTGACAAAAACCCCAACGCAGGGATTTGGAGAGTCAGGTCCAGAAGGTACTTCCTCTTAAAGCACTTCAAAAAAATCTAGGATCTAAGTGCCTTTCAAGGCCACCACAAGGACTTCCTGGAATAGGAAGGGGGCTGTTGAGTCAATATAAGAGAGTGCCGAGGTTACACAGTGACGTGAGCTTCCTAGTGAGAATCAATTCCTACCTGGGACCTGAAGTTCCAAAGCCACATTTCTCACCCCACGCACACATTAATCTTCCTCGTAATGTGTTCTCTGAGGACCTCAAGGTCTGTCCAGGACTTGGCCCTGAGCTCATCAAAGCCGCATTTTTACAGATGGCCAAGTTTTACAGATGTTTGCCTGACCGCTCTGTGCTTTGCTGCAATAACCCGGGGCCGCTTCCAGGTGACAAGCATCCTTTCTCCCAAGTTCATACTGAAGAAGAACTGTCTAGAAGAGGAGCAGCTCCAGAGGGCAGGAGAGGGCAGGCACCCTCTGAAGGAGTAAGTGCTGTCATCTGTCACTAAGAGGGAACAAGCGAATGGCAGTGCTCGCCACATAGGGTAAGGTTCTGGAAAGGGCGCTGTGTGTCAGGAGCCAGGGGAAAAGGCAGGACCTGGGCCTTATTTATGGACACTGTGTTTACATTTTTTCAGCAGAGCTGTGAGCCCCCCAAGGACTCAGGAATGCCCCTGCTGACCTTCAAGCTGTGATGAAGGCTTAGGTGGGTCAACCCATCCTAGAGAAATGCCTGCCCATTCCAAAGTTAAGCACCATCTTTCCCCAAAGCCAGCAAAAATTGACAACTGGGAGGGAATGCACCCAAGGCTGCAAAAGAGGAGAAACAGCCCTTACAGCAACCTACTCAGTCTGTAGAATGTCATTAATGCTCATGAAAATGACAAGGTGCCAAGTATCAGTAGCTTAAAAAAAAAAAAAAAAAAAAAAAGAAAGTTAAAGGGTTAGCCTGACAGTGGTGGTTCATTCCTTTAATCCCAGTGCTCAGGAGTCAGGCAGGCAAACAGGCAGAAGGGTCTCTACTGTGAGTTCCAGGCCAGCCTGGTCTACAGATCAAGTCCCAGGACAGCCAGCACCATGCAGAAAAACCCTGTCTTGAAAAACTAAAAGTTAAAGGATTAAACAGTTTTCTGATGGCCAACCAATTTAGTGTCAGATCTGGGATTCATTGGCAAGGTTCTGTTTCTTCCCAGGTTACAAGCTATTGTATGTTTTATATGCCTAATCCTCTCCTGGATCCTGCAAGAGTGTTTTATTATCTTCGTGTAAATGTGGAAAGATGAAGAGACCAAGCAACAGACCTGAGGCCACAACTCGTTCCCTCGGGAAACGTTAGACTTCCCCGGTGCCGAGCGCTGGTGGCTCAGATGCCAAGTGGAGCGAGCATGATTTGCAGAAACACCTAAAGGTCTCAGCTGAAAGAATTCATATTTCAAAGGGGGAAAAAAGCGGAAACATAGTTCGGGGAATTGTTGGGTTTTCTGTGCTAACAGGCTGAACTCCATGTAAAATGTGCGGTGGGGTGGTTAGTAATAGCTTGGAAAGGCGACAGATGTACATAGGCCTGTTTTATTAATTAAGCAAGCCCCGATGCTTTGTTGGTTGCAGGAAATGCATGCCCTGGAGGAGATATTCAAAAGGAATCTTTGGATTTGTGTGTAATGTGACTGAGAACTCCGGAAGGCAGGAGACAGGACCCACTGTCCGTCTCTGTGACCGGGGCTAGAATCCAGTGACTTATAAACGACTTTTACAACCACTACTATCCCCAGCCACACACCAGCTGGCTGATGCGGAAGAGATATGGAAAGTCATTATAATGTAAAAACCTGGGGGCCACTCACTCTGCAATAACCTGCCTCGGCATTGCAACCTCACACCCTGCTCTAAGGTCTGGGGCCCGGGCAGGCTTGCACCAAGTCCCTGCCTGCCCCAGCTGCGGCAGCCACCTCTCCCTGCCGAGCTGCTGATGCTGCTGGGACCTGAAGTCCCCCTCCAGCTGGAAGCTGCCCTGGCTGACCCTCAGCTGCCCTGTCCATGTCTGTTCTAGAGACTAGCCTCAGGGGCAATCCTGTCTTTAACACTCCCTCCCGCCTCTTCTCTTCCAGAGGTCACAGGAGACCGAGCCCTTAGTGCACCGCGTCTTAGAAAGATTTTTAATGAAACAGCTTTTCTATTTATTTGTGTTGCTGCCTCTGTTGCCTGGGGCTAAGGCACCAGTCCCCAGGAGGGGAGGCTGAGGGTTGGGGGAGGGGACCCTTGCAGATCACGTGCTCTCTTGCCAATCACCTAGCCCCAACACTGACCCTGGCCTGCGCCAATCCAGTGTCCTTTCCCAGCTGGCTTAGCCCTATCGGAATCCTGCGGGGGCTGGGGGACTGGGGCTGGGGGTGTGGATAATAAACAGTTTGTCCCCTGTAAGAGTCACTGAAAGTAGACAGGTTTTCGAAAAAAAGTCGGGGGGTTACACCAGAAGATAAACAAAGAGTAGGCAGCTTTCCGGGATCTGATTAGTACAAAGACCCTGTACACCGCGGGCTCGAGGCTTTCCCACGGGCTTGCCCTCAGACTGCCGCGGCTGTTCCAGCAGGTGTGGAAAGGCTTCCTCTGTCCCCCCCGGGAGGTGGCTTCCACCTGACGTGCCAGCCTGCTCACCTACTGACAGTGTTTACATGGTGCACATAAGAAAAATTTATTTTTAATGTACCGGTGTTTAGCCTGCATGCACGTGTGGGCGCCACGTGTGTGCCCAGAAGAGGGCATCTCAAGTGTTGATCTTTTAACTTGAATTTAAAAAGGAAAGAAAGACAGATATGATCCCAGCATGGGGGAGATGCAGACAGGAAGACAGAATTCCAGACCTACCTAGTGAGTCTGAGGCAAGCCTCAGCCACATTAGTGAAACTATGAACAGAAAATGAACTGAATAAATAAATAAATAAATGGAAAGATTACTGGCTGCAGCCCTGAGACCCTGCCTGGGCTGTCGCCTGTTCACTGCTGCCTTCTGGGGAGGAGAAGTGGCTGACACACCCTTTCACCAGGAGATGGGCTGTTACATCGTCAACACAAGAGTCGGCATCAGCTTTTGTGGGGACACCTGTTTTTATTTGGGCAAATGCTCCAAAGTAGGATTGCCGGGTTTCTTGGCAGGTGTATGATGGGAAGGTTTTTGAGGAGGCGGGCATTCAGGTGAGTAAACAGGAAGCTGAATATCAGGGTGCTGAGTTTAGTTAAGGAAGAGCCTCCTCAGCTCTGGGCTCCCTTCTGCTTACCGTCTCTGGCCAGGTTTTGTAGCTAGCATGTGGGTATCTGTCAATGTCCCCACTAGTCTAGACACAGGGACAGGGCAAGCAGCCCACCAGATTACCCAGTAGCTCTGTAGTTGTTCACTACGCCCGTGTCTCCTTGCTGTGAAGTAAACACTTTAATTGTACCTACCTCATAGATATGCTTCGAGGATCTTTTAGATTTATGTTACATGTATTAGTGTGTTACCTGGATGTGTGTGTGTGTGTGTGTGTGTACCGCACACATGCAGGCAAAACACTGAGAGGCCAGAAGATGGCGTCTAACTGATTCCCTGGACCTGGAGTTACGGAGGGTTGTGAGACACCACGTGGGCCCTGAGAACTGAGCCTGTGCACCGAGATCTTTCCAGTCCCTTGGCTTTTTAAAGGTACTCAGGACTGTAGAGCACAGCCCAGGATGCAGGGTCACCCCACAAGCGCAGCCCAGGATGCAGGGTCACCCCACAAGCGCAGCCTGTGCGCATCCTGGGTCCTAGAACTAGTCCTTCGGGAAAAGAGCGTGTGGCATAGTTCATCTGTCACCTAGGAAGCAAGCAAGCGTCAAATTGAATATGCTTACCAAATGACACAAAGAACCTCCCTTCCTATTTGTCACCTGGATGCGTGTGCCTGCCGAGTGCCAGGTGAGAAGGTCCTGTCTCTATTCCCGCAGAGCTTCTAGCAGGAGGCAGTGGGTGAAGCGTCCTTCTGGACAGCCCGGCGGCTTCGCTCTCCAAGCCTGCACGCAGCACACTGCCAGTCCATTAGGACTGGCCTTCCCTGTGTCTGACTTTAGCCCAGTCATTGATCCTGATCACAGGGAAGCGAACTGACCTCCTCCAGTGGCAGAAAATCGTTCTGTCCTCTACTCGCCGTTCATCTGCAAACATCTGCCCATTTTGCCGTTTAAAACTCGCACTGCTGCCTGCCCTAATCACCGGAGATACCCAGCAGGGCCACCAGCAGCAAGACGTCCCTTCTGTCTTGAGCAGCACAGGAGTAAGACCCAGATGGACACGCCGACAGCTCTGCTTCCTGCTGGAACATTCCAATGAGAAGATGATGCCGTTAGCCAGGCACCGTTTCTGCTGGCCTAGATTCACCACTGTGACAGCGCCATGGGGGATTCAGGGCACAGGCTGAATGCTTTGGCTTGATGGGGCCGGCAGCCCTAGGAACGCGGCTAGCTGGGGGCATAAAATAGGTGAAAGCTCCCCGAGGAAGAGGCTGTGGAGCAACCTAAGAGCCATCATCAGTCTCTCCAGGAACCCAGGTCGTTCTCACCAGAGGTTTGCGGAGGGACAAGCAGAGCATGATGCCAGATGTCTAACGTGACTTGGAAAACAGCAAACACTCCTGGAAATTGCAAAGCCAGCACTGATGTGTGGGTCCAGGATCCACACCAGGAGCACAGGCCTGACACCTCAGATTTGTCACTTGTCCTGGTCAGGTCAGCCACAGGCAGAGAGGGCGTGGCCGGAGGGCCCAGTGTGGTCCTACCTCAGGTCTCACTTCAGCTTCAGCAGCTCTTCCAGACAGCTTCAGAGTGCCGGGCATGCTGCTCTGTCCTGTGGGCTCTCAGAAAAAGACGCTTGCTGGCTTCGCTTCTGCTCCTGAATTCCTTTGGGGAATCCAGCTTTCCCCGCCTCAGTAAAGTCACACTGTGAACTCTTACCATGGTTTCTACCTTCTTAGTCAAGAGAAAGTCTTGTCTGGGAGCAACCATTCAACCATTTCCCTTCCATGGGCTTGAAACGGTCCTGTGACCTGGGCTGGATCAAGTACAAACTTACTTAGATTTTAAACTGGGGGCGTTTAGTACAAACTTACTTAGATTTTAAACTGGGGGCGTTTAGTACAAACTTACTTAGATTTTAAACTGGGGGCATTTAGTACAAACTTACTTAGATTTTAAACTGGGGGCATTTAGTACAAACTTACTTAGATATTAAACTGGGGGCGTTTAGTATAAACTTACTTAGATTTTAAACTGGGGGCGTTTAGGTGTGGCGGTGGCTTTGGGGGGGTTAAATTGGGGGCGTTTAGGTGTGGCGGTGACTTTGCGGGGGGGGGTTATACTGGGGGTGTTTAGGTGTGGCGGTAGCTTTGGGGGGTTATGATTTTGGGTTGCATTTCTCACACTCTTTCTGGGTGTTTTCAGAAATGAACTTTCCTCTTAGAGGGCCTGGGGGCAGAAGGGAGAGGGGAGCCCTTTTTACCATACACTTCCCTGACTGACTTTGGGTTAGACTATCGAGGTTGAGCCTAACATTGCCCTCTGGAAGGACTTTAAATTGGTTTGATCTCACTTAAACAAAAGCTCTTAGAAACTTCAGTCCCCTGGAAGGCCCACAGGTTTGACTTGCTCAGCCAGGCAGTTCCTCCTGAGAAATTCTCAGAAGGGATGTGCGTGTGCGCGTGTCCTGTTTTCTGGCTGGATCATGGCTCATTCTTAAGAGACAAGGCTCTCCCTTGGGAATATCATGGCAGGCTATTCTTTTTCACCAGAACTTCTAAATTTCAACCAGCCTCACTACCACCCAGGGTTTCAGAAGGAAACAAACGCATCCATCCACAAGATTTGTGCGTGGGTCCTCGTAGCTGATTTATTAATCATTTAAATCTTACAATCCAATGTAAACTAACACAAATCCTGGGCAATGAATCTGGATAGACAGTTCTGTAAAGAAGACATATCAATGACCATCGAGCGCCTAAGAAGACTGTCAGCAGCACCACGCAATATAAAGTCAGAACCCAAGGGGGGGCATCCATTACCGAAACAATCAGGCAACAGACAAAACAAGCATGGACAAGGAGCCGGGAACATTCTACACACTGTTGGGGCAGACGCCAAATGGTACGGCTGCTTACGCCCTTAAATACAGAGACGTATGTTTCAACAGTGCCGTTCCTTAGAGAAACGAGAGCACACATCCACACAAATGCTGGCATTTAATATCTGCAACAGCATCTATTCACAGCAGCTTAAAAGTGGAAAGAGCCCCAAGTGCTCACCAAGTGCCGGACGCATACACAGAATCAGCTGTGCGCATAAGCGGACACCCATTGATAGGCCATTATTCCACAAAAGGCCTGCCGTACTGAGTTAGGCTACGGAGTGAATGAACTATGAAGGCATTATGCTCTAAGAACTCAGACATGAAGACCATGTGCTGTTGGAGGAAATTTCATAGAAATGCCCGTGGAGACCAACAGTTGATTTCCAGAGTCTGAAGTGCAGGGTAGCTGTAGAGAGTGACTACCAATGCATACTGTGCTGTGGTTGGCTAGGCTGCCCCTGTGTGAAGGCCCTAAAGCTCAGGTGACAGTGTGTTCAGAGAAGCCTTGGACTTCGGCTGACGGGACTTATCTGGAAGCTGGGCGTGTCCTCAGAGCTACACTTGCGCTTTCTGCTTCCTGCATGCCACAAGGTAAGCAGCTTCTCTGGGAACAAAAGGGCCAGACAACCATGGAAAAACCTTAAGCACACCCACACCCACACCCACCCACACACCCACACACCCACACACACACACACACACACACACACACACACATATATATATATTTCCAGGAAAGGATTTCTCTGTGTAGTCCTGGCTGTCCTGGAACTCACTCTGTAGACCAGGCTGACCTTGAACTCAGAGTTCCACCTGTCTCTGCCTCCCTAGTGCTGGGATTAAAGGTGTGTGCCACTGTGTCTGGTTCCAAATTAGATGTTTTCTTGAGGCATTTGTCACAGTGACAAACATTTCTGATTGATGCAGTTTCTTTTGAAAACATCATGAAATTTGATAGTTATAGTTAATGTTATTTTTTTTGAAGTAGAGTTCCCTAGTGCAACCCAGGCTAGCTACAATCTCAGAATGCTTCTACCCCATCTTCCA